GCTGATGATATGATCCTATACCTTGATAATCCATGAGAATCTGCCAAAAACTTGCTTGCATTGAAAAAGAACTTTGCCAAAGTCTCAGGGTATAAAATAAATGTGTAAAAGGCAGTTGCATTCCTATACACCAACAACAAACAGGCAGAGACCCAAATAAAAAGCAAATCCCATTCACAACACACACACACACACACACACACACACACACACACACACACATGAAATACTTCGGCATCTTCCTAACCAGAGAAGTGAAAAACCTTTACAATGATAACTACAAAACACTACTCAAAGAAATCCAAGAAGACACAAACAAAAACATATTCTATCCTCATGGATAGGAGAAATCAACATTGTTAAGATGTCCATCCTATCAAAGGCAATCTACAGATTCAATGCAATACCCATTAAGTTACAAACATCATTCTTCTCAGACCTGCAGATGAAAATACAGAAATTCATATGAAAACACAGAAATTCATATGAAAACATAAATAACCATGAATAGCCAAAACAATCCTTAGCAAAAGAAACAAAGCAAGAGGTATCACACTTCCAGACTTCAAAATTTACTATAAGGCTACAGTAATCAAAACAGCCTGTTATTGGTACAAGAACAGGAATATAGACCAAAGGAACAGGATAGAGATTCTGGAAGCAAAGCCTCAATTTCTCAACCAACTCATCTTTAACAAAGCCTCCAACAACCACCACTGGGGAAAGGAGAACCTAATCAGTAAATGGTGCTGGAAAAATGGCTGATCACATGCAGAATATTCAAATAGAACCCCTACCTATCACTATACACATAAGTTAACTCTAAATGGATCAAAGACCTAAATGTAAAACCTCAACTATAAGAATCTTAGAAAACGCAGCAGACACCCTTATGGAAATTGGAACTGGTAACTAGTTTCTGATCAGAACCCTAAGTACTCATAACATAAGAAATAAGATAGACAAGTGGAACCTAATCAAACTGACAAGCTTCTGCAAAGCAAAAGAAACCATCAAGAGAGCAGTGAGACAGTCCACAAATGGGTAAAAATATTTGCCAACTGTATATCTGATAAAGGTTTAACATCTAGGATCTACAAGTAACTCAAATTTGCTGAAAGGAAAAAAACAAATAGCACCATCAAAAAGTGGGCAAAAGACATGAATAGACACCTCTCAAAAGAAGATATATTGGCAGTCAACAGACACATGAAAAAGTGCTCAGCTTCACTAACATCAGAGAAATGCAAATCAAAACCACATTGAGATATCACCTAGCCCCAGTAAGAATGGCCATCATTAATAAAACAAACAACAACAGATGCTGACGAGGATGTGGAGAAAAAGGAGCGCTTCTACACTGCTAGTGGGAATGAAAACTAGTGCAACCTCTTTGGAAGACTGTATGGCGATTTCTGCAAGATCTCAAAATTGATCTTCCATATGACCCAGCAATTCTCCTATTGGGAATATACCTGGAGGAACTCAAATCATTCTACAAAAAAGATACCTGCACACGCATGTTTGTTGCAGCTCTATGCACAATACCAAAAACATGGAACCAATCATGCTGCTCATCGAAGCTGGACTGGATAAAAAAAAAATGTGGTACATATACACAATGGATATATTATGCAAATTATGCACAAAGGATAAACATATGGACTTCACAGCTACTTGGATGGATTTAGAGTCTTTCATACTCAGTGATCTATCACAGAAACAAAGAACAGGGTACCATATTTTCTCACTCATAAGCGGACCTTGAATGATTATCATACTACTATAAGAAAGGGATTGGTAGTAGTGAAAACTGTCAGGGAAGGGAGGGTGGGAGTGGTAGTTGAGGGAAACTGCTAGGGGAGGGAGAGTTACTTCTCATCAACAAGGGTACCTGCATAATCAATGCTTGTATACCTAACCCTGAATTGTACCCCACACCTTTAAAAAAAAGAAAAAAATTCTAAAAATGAAAAGGGCTTTAAAAGAAAAAGAATATTAAGGATTGGAACCCAGTGCCTTCTGGCTTATATGGTTTCTGCTGAGAAGTCTATGAATTCTGATGGGTCTTTCCTGATAGGTGGTCTCTTCCTTCTTTCTAGCTCCCTTTAGGACTTTTTATTTCATGCTTACCTTATGGATACAGATTATTAGGTGTGTTGGGGATGGTCTTCTCATGTAATACCTTGCAGGAGTTCTCTAGATCTCTTGCATTTGGATGGTTGCCTCTCTAGTGAAATAAGGGAAAATTCCTTGGCTAGCCTTTTGGAAGATTTGTTTAATGATATTCTCCCTTCTGTCTCAGGGATTCTAGTCATCCATAAATTTGGTCTCTACACAATCCCATACCTCTCATAGGCTTTGCTCATTCTTTTTGAGTCTTTTTTCCTTGCTTTTGTCAGACTGGGTTAGTTCAATATTTTGGTCCACCAGCTCTGAGATTCTTTCCTCTGCCGGGTCAATTCTGCTGAATAGGTCTGTCATTGTGCTTTGAAATTCCAGGAAGGAATTCTTCATTTTCAGGATTTCAGATAGGACCTTTCCTATATTGACCAGCTCAATTTTTATTTCCTGCAGTGCTTTTGCTGCCTGGATGATCTTTGCTTCCATTTTCTCATGGTTTTCCTTTGTTGTTTTTGCCATCCATAGTCTGAATTCTGTCTGTCATAGGTCATTCTGGAAGGGTTCCATTGTTTGGGGTATGAGAGGAGATTTTGTGGGTGATCTTCTTTAAAACTTTGGGGATTGCTGGTGTTTTATTGCTGGTTCTTCCTTATCTGTGAAGACCAACTCTTCTCTTTTAATTATTTTTTTGTTCTTTTTTGTTGTTGTCATTAAATATAGTTTAGCTGCCCTAGAGATTTTTTGACTGTTTGAAAGAGTTCCCACAGAGAAAGAAAGAGAGTAACCATCAGGTCTGCAGGTGCCTACCTCTCCCCCCTCCCCTGTTTTTTCCAGTCCCACCTCTCCTTTTAGGCAGTGCTCAGAACTCAAAGTAGATGTCTGCCGCAAAGTTTTTCCCACAGCCAGGTCAGTTAGACTGCTTTCCAATCTCGTTATGTGTTCTCTATGGGGATCAGGAGGGTAGATGGGCTCCCTGGCTGCTGTGGCAGTACTGCCAGAATGGCAGCACCATTCATTGCTTAGAAGTGTACAACAGAACCTACCTTTGGGATAAGTGAAGCCAGTAAGTGACTTTTCCTAGTATGAGGACTGACCACCAAGTACTGCCCATGGGGTACATGCTTTCAGGGATTGATTGGCTATAGGCATTCAGAGCTTGGATGGATTTTCAGCTCCATTTGGGCTCTGGCAGCATGCCAGCAGTGTTGTATCCAGACCACCCCTGACTTGGGACTGGAGACCCATGTGGCTGGCGAGAGGAGAACTGTTGCAGACCATGTCACATATAAGGCAGGACTGAAAATCCAATGTAAGCATGTCACATGGTGGGGACGGGCCTCCTGGCTCTGAAATTGGCTGCTGCTTACTCTCTCTCCTCCTCACTCCCTATGTGTCCCAAGAGTCCTCTGTTGGATGTGGGGTGCATCCTCCACCTCAGCCTATTCTAGTTAATGGGGAGGGGGGTGCCACTGCCTTCTGGAATCCTCTTCTTTGGTCTGCTCTGGGAGAGAGGTGCTGGTTGGCTACTACCAGGTGGCCATCTTGTATCTCCCTCCTACTAAGACTTTTTTACTTTGTTTTGGTTGTTTATAGTCTAAGGATTCCATTGAGCCCATCAAACAATGATGGACTCAATAGGAAAGGCTCCTAATCACTGGGAATTTTAAAGTCATGGCTGGATGACAATGCATTTGGAAGATAGAAAGGATTTCTAAAGTTCTCTGGCATGAAGTAAGAAAATGATATGGGAAACTGTGGAATAAAATACAAAGGCACTATTTTGAATTAGTCTCCTAATTTGCTTTAACAAATTATCACACATTTAGTGGCTTAAAATAATACCACTATATTCCCTTACAAGTTCAAGAGGTCAGAAGCCTGAAATCAAGGTGTTGGCAAGCCTATGTTCTTTCTGCAAGCTTAAAGAGAGAATCTGTTTCCTTGCTCTTTCTAGAGGCCACTCACATTTTTGGCTTATAGTCCTTTTCTTACATTACTCCAGCTTCTTGTTTCTGTCACTACATCTCATTCTACTCATTCTAATCCTGTCTCCTCCCTCTAATAAGGACTCCTGTGATTACACTGGGCCCACCTTGATAATCCAGGGTAATCACCCCCATCTCAAGATCCTTAACCACATCTGCAAAGTTCCTTTTATTATATAAGATAACAGGTTTCAGGGATTAAAATGTGGACATCTTTAAGGGACTATCATTCAACCTACCACAGATATTGTAGTTCAGAGACCATCACTGGGATCAGAAAAATTAGGAAGGTCTTTGTGGTGGTAGTGCATCATGAAGGATATGAAGATAAGGAGGAAGTCACCACTAAGTTAGTAAATGACATGAACACAGATAGTGGGGATATAAATCAGCATAATTTACATGGAGACCATTAAAGACACTGAAGTAAATGCAGTTAAGCATGAGAGATGTGATCAAATGGGAATAGGCAAAAGCCAAATCACAAAGAGCCTTAAAGACAGAGAAAGGGATCCAAATTTAGTAGAATAGCAACTGGGAGTTACTGAAAATTTCTAAGTAAGCCCCCAAGTAACATTATAAAAACAATATTTTCATTATGACTAGTCTAACCAAAGCAGGGGTGCGACAGCAGACCGTAAGAGGAACAAAGCTGAATGGCTATGTCTCTGAAGTATCATCACTGACGTCTAAACTGCACTCAGAACATCTAAAAAAAAATGGCAGCAATTTCAAAGGAGAGATAAAATGCAAGAGCAGGATCATTTTAGCTTTTGTCCACCTACAGGAACACAAACCAAAGACAACAACCAAGGGCCTCTTATAGTGATTTCAATTTCTATGAGTTCAGGGAGATTTTTTAAAAAGAGAGAAAAAACATACCAGGCTTACCTCATTGCCACATTACTTCCATCAATGACAACTGGCCTCAAATTGTCACTGTTGTCTATTTCATCTTCAAGAGACAATTCAGGACTTGCAATCTCTTTGGAGTTGGGCCCATGAGGCACTAACAGACTCAAGTTGACTTGCCCTTCTGAATCACCTTTGTTGCCAAGTCTGACAAGCTCAGCCAATACGTCATTAATAAGGGATTCTGGACCCAGCTTGTTTAACACGGATTGAATCTGTTCCTCTGCATAGCCCAACTTTAGAGCAAACTCCATCTTGGCCTGGTATTCCTTCTTCAAGTGAAGCTTACCATCCTGTAAAATGCTGCTCTGGGAAAAGCTTGGACGATCCAGGCAGGGTGATCGACATAGCTGGCGGTGTGGTTTGGAGGGAATCTCCTTTTTCTTCAACTGACCATCCCCAGGTTGGCAGTTCTTATTGTTGTCACTGCTTTTAAGGCTCATCTGTTCGGGATCACTCTCAGAGCTAATCCACTCTTCAGAATCAGCATTGCCTTGCTCTGTACTGTCTTGTTTAGGTTGCTGCTTCTCTACCTTGGAGGCACTCTTCTCCATTTTTGGTGTCTCCACCTCAGCTGTGGCCGTCATCCCGTTCAGCAGGTAGTCAGAGGTCTAATCAGCTCTTTTTCTTTTTAGCTTGTTTGGAATCCACATACAGTGGCATTCCACTGTGGTAAAATGCTGTGGTAGTGATGGTGTAAGAGTCTGCCTGTTTGGTTTGATATGTTCAGATGTTACCAGTCCCTAAAAAGAAACACACATACCACGGTTATGTTTATTAAACTAATGGAAAACAATTTTAGAACACAGAGGATTCTTCCTAAGAAACTACAGGTTCTCTGGCACTGAATTTTTCTGCTTACCATGATTGAACTAACCTTACATTAAAAATGTAGCAACTCTAATTCCCTAGTAATTCTAAGTATAAAAATTTCCGTGGTGGAATTAATACTGTAATTCCCTCACACACAAAATAACAGCTAAAGCTGTCTGCTTATCAAAACAACTTTGAGAAAGACGTATAATGCATTCAGTAAAGTATAGCTCTCCTTGGATAGACTTATTTTCCTTCTTTTTGCCAGGAAGTGTTTCCAGATCTCATATCAGATCCTTGCTAAAGCTGAAATTCACTCCCAAACACATCCTTGCCAGTGATACTCCTTTCAAAACACCAGGAACCCAGTCTACTAGGGAGACTGGAGAGCCATTAAAATTGCTCTCAGACAAACAAGTAGCAGGCTGTAAGGGTATCATATAAAGAGATGTGCTTCAGACAAGAAAGGGGGTGTGTGCACATTTCTGAAGATAGCTGCAACCTCCTTTATTTATTTTAATGGGTAAAAAAAGCCCAACTTGCATGGAGAACCAGAACATATTAAAAAAAAACATTAATAATAGAAGATAATTAGGAAAAAATTTATCTTGAAATCCCTCCTCTCTACTGCTTTATCTATCCTGATGGGTTTCAGGTCTAACATGGTCAAGTGTTTTCTTCTCTTTGAACCTTGGCTTTCTCATGTGTAAAATGAGGATATTGATAGCTACCTCACAAAGTAATTGAAAGAATTGCATAAGATGTGTACAGAAAGAGCTTAGAAAAGTGAAGAAAATACAGCAGGTTCTCAATATACATAAATGAGGCAATAGATACCAACAGCATTTTGGATTTTTTTTTATTTTTTGAGACTGTCAGTGGGGCAAGGTTGTGGACCTGTGAGCACTGATGGACTTTTTAGGCAGCAGCTGTGCTCATTCATCTAAAACCAGACGATCTGGTACCAGTGTACCAGAGATTTCCAGTTCTACCTCAATACCATTTCTACAGAAAAGAAGAAAAGCTGATAACAGTTTGAAGATTGTTATGGATAACTGCATGCCTACTTTAGGAGTCACGTGGAAACACAGTCACACAGAACTAACATCTCAGAACTGACATTCAGACAGCATATAATGATTTCTCTAATGATTATGTCACCACTTGTGACATCAGAAATGCCACTTAATGAATTAGGCAACACATAGACACACATTTCCTTTATATATTTTACATTTACGGTCTGACTTACATTTTATTCTCTTCAAAATAATTTTCAGTGTACATAGGACATTGAAATATTTTCCCTTGTATTTATTCAAAGCTCCAGTCACTTAAAACCAACTGTTTACAGGACTAAATGTATACTTTATTGGCAAATGAGAGGTACCTTTAAAAAACAAATTTGACTCCTTTTAGCTAGTGGACTATAGAATATTTTTTTCATCTAATATTTAGTTCTGTCCAATATGACACTTGGTGTGAACACTTTCACCACGTTTATGTAGAGCTACAATAGCAAATTTAAACTCAGGGAAAATCTCATAAACATAGGAAACCTTCATTAAAATTGCCAGTTACTTTTGTGAAAGTTTCCTACCCGATAACCTAAAGTAGAAAAGAAATAATTGGCTTAGCAGAAATAAACTTGTATTTAATTTTCAAAGCCTTAAGGAAGAAAGTATTAAGAAAAATATTAGTCTTTTGTCCTAAAAACTGTGTGGAGATGCCAGGTGTGTGTGTGTGTGTATACTTTTGTTTTAGAATGCAAACTTCTTAAGACAAGATAGCAAGGATGTCTTCTCATTCAAAATATCAGTCACTGAGTGCCACATACTGTTGTAAGCCCCAGAGTTAGGAAAAGAAACCAAAACTGAGCCTGTCCATGCAAACTATTAAAAAATTGGCTAAAATAGGTAGGAAGTGCTGAAATATGTTCTATAGAGGATAAGCATCTCAATTACAGTTCAAGCTGGAATACTATTGGGAATGAAGGGAATGTTTACTAATAACTATGCAAAAACAATAGGCATAAACTGTGTATGTCCCAGGAAAACCTGGATATATGGTTGGTCACTCAAGTTACTTGCAAATTTCTTTTTTTTAATTTAATCAGTATTTCTTATTATGATATTGTGGGGTACAATTAAGGGTTAGGTATACAAATATGCTTCGTTCAGGCACCCTTGTTGATAAGAGGTGTCTCCCTGTCCCCAGAAAGATATTTACTACCATTAATCCCATCTCCCTTCCCCCCATCGTTTCCCACCACTATAAGTCATTTTCTTATAGTATTACATTGGATGTTCAAGGTCCACTATATGAGTGAGAACATGTGATACTCAGATCTTTGTTTCTGTGAGAGGTCATTCAGTATTATAGACTCTAGTTCCATCCAGGTTGCTGCAAAATTCATGATTTTGTTCTTTTTTATGGCTGTGTAGTATTCCATCATGTATAAATACCACATTTTTTAAATCCAGTCCTCTTTTGATGGACAGCATGGTTGCTTCCAGGTTCTTGCTATTGTGAACAATGCTGTGATAAACATACATGTACAGGTATCTTTTTTATAGAGTGATTTGAGTTCTTCAGGGTATATTTCCAGTAGGGGGATTGCAGTGTCATACAGGAGGTCAATATTTAGAGCTTTTAGGAATTACCACACTGTTTTTCATAGAGGTTACACTAGTTTGCACTCCCACCAACAGTGTAGAAGTGTTCCCTTTTCACCATACCCTCTCCCGCAACTGTTATTTTTTGAATTATTGATAATTGTCATTCTGACTGGAGTTAGGTGGTATCTCAGTGTGGTTTTGATTTGCATCTCCCTGATGATTAGTGAGGTTGAACATTTCTTCATGTGTCTGTTGGCTGCTCGGATGTCTTCCTTTGAGAAGTGTCTGTTCACATCTTTTGCCCATTTTATAATGGAGTTGCTTGTTTTTTTCTTTTCAGCACGTTTGAGTTCCTTGTAGATCCAAGATGTTAAGCCTTTGTCAGACCTGGAGTTGGCAAATACTTTTTCCCAGTCTGTAGGCTGTCTCCCTGCTCTCTTGATGGTTTCTTTGGCTTTGCAGAAGCTTGTCAGTTTAATGAGGTCCCACTTGTCTATCTTCTCTCTCATGGCCTGTGGGTTTTGGGTTTTGTTCAGGAATTGGATGCCAGTTCCAATTTCCATGAGGGTATGTCCTTCATTTTCTAAGGTTCTTATGGTTTGAGGTTTTATATTTAGGTCTCTGATCCATTTAGAGTTAATTTTTGTGTATGAGGATAGATAGGGGTCCTGTTTCAATCTTCTGCATGTGGTCAGCCAGTTTTCCCAGTACCATTTACTGTATAGGTTCTCCTCTCCCCAGTGGTAGGTGGTGGAGGCTTTGTCGAAGATGAGTTGGTTGAGAAATTGAGGTTTTGCTTCTGGAATCTCAATTCTATTCCATTGGTCTATATGCCTTTTCCTGTACCAATACCAATTTGTTTTGATTATTGTAGCTTTATAGTAAAGTTTGAAGTCTGGTAATGTGACACACCACCTGCTTTTTTTTTTTTGCTGAGGATTTTTCTGGCTATTCTTGGTCATTTGTGTTTCCATATGAATTCCTGTATTGTTTTTTCTAGGTCTGAGAAGAATGTTGTGGGTAATTTGATGGGTATTGCATTAAATCTGTAGATTGCCTTAGGTAGGATGGACATCTTCACAATGTTGATTCTTCCAATCCATGAGCATGGGATATTTTTCCACTTGTTTGTGTCATTTTTTTGCTTTCTTTGAGCAGTGTTCTGTAGTTTTCATTTTAAAGGTCTTTCACATCTCTGGTTAGGAAGATGCCAAGGTATTTCATTTCTTTTTGTGGCTATTGTGAATGGAATTGTGCTTTTCATTTGGGTTTCTGTTTGTCTATTATTGGTGTAAAGAAATGCGATTTTCTTTTGCACATTTATTTTATATCCTGAGACTTTGTCAAAGTCCTTTATCAGTGTAAGGAGGTTTTTGACAGGTTCCCTTGGATTTTAAAGGTACACAATCATGTCATCTGCAAAGAGAGATAACTTGACTTCCTCTTTTCCTATTTGGATACCCGTGACTGCCTTCTCTTCTCTGATTGCTCTAGCCAGAACTTCCAATACTATACTGAACAGGAAGGGGAGAGTGGGCATCATTGTATTGTTCCAGTTTTCAGAGGAAATGGTTCCAATTTTTGTCTGTTTAGGAGTATGCTGGCTGTGGGTTTCTCATAGATGGCTTTTACTATTTTGAGGTATGTTCCATGTATGCCTAGATGTTCAAGGGTTTTTATCAAGAAGGGGTGCTGGATTTTATCAAAAGCTTTTTCTGCATCTAATGATATAATCATGTGGTTTTTGTTTTGACATCTGTTGATGTATTTAATTACATTTATGGTTTTATGAATATTGAACCAGCCTTGCATTCCAGGGATGAAGCCTACTTGGTCATGATGGATGATTTTTGAGATGTGTTGTTGAATTCGGTTCGCTAGGATCTTGTTGAGAATTTTAGCATCTATGTTCATCAAAGATATTGGCCTGTAATTCTCTTTCTTTGTTGGGTCTTTGCCTGGCTTGGTTATCAATGTGATGTTAGCTTCGTAAAATGATTTGGGGAGAGTTCCCTCTTTCTCAGTCACCTGGAATACCTTCAGTAGGATTGGTATCAACTCCTCTTTAAATGTCTTGTAGAATTCTGCTGGAAAGCCATCTGGTCCAGGGCTTTCTTTTGTAGGTAGTTTTCTTATTACATAGTCAATTTCCTTGATTGTTATTGGTCAATTTAGATTCTCAATTTCTTCTTGTTTCAATCTAGGCAGGTTGTATGATGAGAGAAAGTCCTCCATTTCCATAAGGTTTTCAAGTCTGTTTCTATACAAGTGTACATAGTAGTCTCTAATGATATTTTGTATTTCTTCAGGAT